ACAGAGAGCAGATGGCGAACTATCCCTACCCTATTCTCTCTCCCTACCCTCGCAAACTGTCTTCTCTCTTCTCTACTCCCCCAAATGCCCAAACAAGCAATGGTTCTCTCTTCTCTCTTAGGCGTTGAATCACTTTCCCGAATTCCTGAACAAGCAATGGTTCTTTCTTCTCTTTTAGGTGATGAGTCACTTCCCCAAATTCCCGAACAGACAGCGAGTCCCTTCCCAAAATCCATGTCAAATATCGTCTATTTCAAACCTCTTCTGCGCAAACATCCTCCTCTTATCCCTCTTCTGAGCAAACATCATCCCCTCTCTCCCCTCCCCCTCTTTTTGTTCATCTCTCTCTCTCNCAAATATTTTTGCTAGTTTAAATAACTTCATTATATTTTTTGACATTTGTGCGCAGCAGAGGGGTCGAAAGTTTGCAGAGAAAAGTGATGACGTGCGACACTGGTTGGTTTCTGAGCGGTCCTGTGTAGTTGTGTGTGTACAGGGAGATTAGTTTGTAAAAGTAAGGGGTTTGACTAAGAATATATGACCTAATTAATTTTTTTTTTTTAGCTAAACAGATACAAGATCAGTCGCACAGAAAAATTTTCAAGTAACACGGTAAGTTACAGATACAGAGGTAAGAAAACTCTCTGAGACCTACTAGACCACAATACCCAAACAATTGCTGATTGAGTGAGGATCCAATGGTCATTAAATATTCTTAATCTTTCCCTGCAATTATACCCATTAATTATACGACCTAATTAATTATACTCGTTGGATTGATAATAGCAAGCAAGACTCAATAAGTATTAAATTTGATATTAATTTAATAATTATAGTAAAATTATATGATTAGGTCAATAAATTTAATCTAAATATTCAAACTCAATAGCATTACTTATAAAAAAATGTCCCTCACTGGTGTGCTGTGTAATTGTTTGGGGGATTGGGGGTTCAGGGGGGGAGTTGGAAAGGTGAGGGTATTGACTAAGAAAATAAAAAATATAAAAAAAATGTGTTATAATGTTATGACAATTTTTTTTTGCCTTCCCCTCTTGTTTCTTAGATCATATCCAATGTAAATTTAAATAGACAAAAGGTAAAAAATTTTGATTTAGTATAAACTTCTTAGATGTCCAAATTTAAAGAAAGATAAACTCAAATTTAAAAGAAGGTAAAATATGATCATTTGTTCTTTAAATGATAATAAAATCTCATCATTAAAGATTTTTATATGAATTTAAATTTAAAAAAAGTTTTTTTTTTNAATAATATATTTAATATTGAAAATAATCCCCGTGCAATGCACTTATATACAAAACACAAAATATAAATTTACATATCTATATCTATCTATCTATACTATTAATAAAATTACCTTAGCATAAAAAACTTTTGATTCATTATTTTACCCTTATAAAGAATTTTAAATACCACATTATCCTTCTATAGTTAAATTATCATCATATTCTTAGTGTTTAAATCTCCAAAATATCCTTGACATCTTTTTTAATTCTTTATTTTAATATCTATGAAACTTTTTAATTGAGTATGTTATCCTTAAAAATAAGTATTGATTAGAATATTGAAAATTATTGTTATTTTGTTCAATGAATTATTTTTATCTTTTTTTCCTTATAGATAGATCAACGAATCAGTAGGAATAGACAATTTTTTTTCAAATTCTTTAATGTAATACGAACGATGAATATATAATTTTTAAAAACTTGAAATGATATTTAATTTAGGTATACATATATCTAAATTTTTTTATTAAATTTTATATATAAAAATTATTCAAATGCAATGCACTAATATACACACTAAAAGTCTGTTATTAAACAAATATTTTTGCTAGTTTAAATAACTTCATTATATTTTTTGACATTTGTGCGCAGCAGAGGGGTCGAAAGTTTGCAGAGAAAAGTGATGACGTGCGACACTGGTTGGTTTCTGAGCGGTCCTGTGTAGTTGTGTGTGTACAGGGAGATTAGTTTGTAAAAGTGAGGGGTTTGACTAAGAATATACGACCTAATTATTTATTTTTTTTTTAGCTAAACAGACACAAGATCAGTCGCACAGAAAAATTTTCAAGTAACACAGTAAGTTACAGATACAGAGGTAAGAAAACTCTCTGAGAAACAATTGCTGACTGAGTGAGGATACAATGGTCATTAAATATTCTTAATCTCTCCCTGCAATTATACCCATTAATTATACGACCTAATTAATTATACTCGTTGGATTGATAATAGCAAGCAAGACTCAATAAATATTAAATTTGATATTAATTTAATAATTATAGTAAAATTATATGATTAGGTCAATAAATTTAATCTAAATATTCAAACTCAATAGCATTACTTATAAAAAAATGTCCCTCACTGGTGTGCTGTGTAATTGTTTGGGGGATTGGGGGTTCAGGGGGGGAGTTGGAAAGGTGAGGGTATTGACTAAGAAAATAAAAAATATAAAAAAAATGTGTTATAATGTTATGACAATTTTTTTTTGCCTTCCCCTCTTGTTTCTTAGATCATATCCAATGTAAATTTAAATAGACAAAAGGTAAAAAATTTTGATTTAGTATAAACTTCTTAGATGTCCAAATTTAAAGAAAGATAAACTCAAATTTAAAAGAAGGTAAAATATGATCATTTGTTCTTTAAATGATAATAAAATCTCATCATTAAAGATTTTTATATGAATTTAAATTTAAAAAAAGTTTTTTTTTTTCATTCGATAAGGGTATGAGTTTACATTTTGAGAAACATTTTAAGCCATCTCCATTCTTTACCTAAATACAAACTCAAATTCAAATTTGAGTTAAAAAAACTTTAGAATTCTATTTAACCTTTCACTCAAACTCATATCAAAATATGAAAAACCATTTTCTCGACCCAAATTGATGGAATACCAAAACTTTTATTCAATTTTTTTGAACCAAAAACATAACCCTTTCTTCTCTCTATTGCCCGTGTTTCTCAGTCCCCGTAAAACCATAGCCCTTCCAACACAAATTTGCTCTGTCCGTCCGTCGGAAGTTTCAGAAGGTACTTAAGGTAAGTTTATGGGTAAAGAAATGAATTTTTCCGATAATATAAGAACTTTTAAAAAAGATTTGAGTATAAATTTGATTTTATTTATTAGAATGATTTATATCAAATCAAGTTTTTTATTTATTTATTTTTTATTTAAATTTGAGTTTGAGCCAACACCATAGATGCTCTTTAAATTATTTTTACTTAAATTTAAATTTGAGTATAAAAAAAAATAAGGATAAAATATGCCTTTAGAGTATTTTCAACCATGACTCAAATTTAAATTCAAATTTGAGTAAAAAACTTGATTTAATATAGAGTACTCCGATAAACAAACTCAAATATTTATTTAAATCTTTTAAAAAAATTTCTTATTGTCATAAAACTCATTTTTTTGTGTCATTCAAATCATAATATTTAATAAAATAAATAAAACTTTATAGTTCTCCACAAATGGATAATTCAAAAAAAATAAAAAATAAATATGTATACAACACTATATGCGAATAAAGAAAATCAATCCAGAATTCAAATTTGAAAGTAAGGTATAATATAAGCCAATCGATTAATAGAGAACGGTGATGAATTTGAGAAAAAGAAATAAATATAAATAATTTTAAAAAAAATATTAGTGGTAGTCAAACGAATTTATTTAAGAGCATCACACTCTCCTCACCGGAAAAGTAGGAGAATGCACAATACCTAACACTGAGGACGCCCTGGGTTCTACTTCTCATCTCCAATCTCAGTCATATCAAGAAGAATTGGAAGAAGCAGAGACTCCGGCTCCGACTCCGACTCCGACTAGAGAACTATAATGGCCACCACCACAGAGATATTTGGAGTAAAGATCGAAAGGAACCCTCCCGAATCTAAGCTCACTGAGCTCGATATCGCGTCTTGGCCCAAGTACGCAAAATCAATCATTATACTTCACATCACTTCCTTTTCCGTTCTGCTAATGTTTCTTTGATTTCCTTGCTTTTGCTCTTTCTAATCTCTGGTTGTTCTTCTCCTATTTTGTGTGATTTTAAAGGTTTTTTTTTTTTTAAATTTTGTTTGTATGATTTGACTGTTTAGTGATGTTTGCTTTGAAATATCTTCAATTTTTGCATGTTTGAGTGGATGTTTCTGAATTATGAAAATAATACTCTTTTTTTCTGGTTGAGTTTTTTTTTAAACCAAATTCAGTCACATAGGGTTGTTGCTTTAAATTTGTCAGCACAAAAAGCTACCATGGAAAGGGGTACTTGAGACCAGTTACTGGAAAACTTAATCACAATCAATAACCCTAAAATCCTTCCCAATGACCAAAAAAAGTGCATTCCTCTTTGCACCTCTTAGTCAAATTCTAATTTTCAAGTAAGGAAAATCATTGTTCTTCAAGTACTCACACTAGACTTTTGAGTATTTGGAAACCGGACTTAAGGAATGGGGTAATCTGTGGCTTGAATAACCAAGTAATCTATGAGCAGTGGTGTTGAAAGCTTCAAGACTACACCATTGTTTCATAAGTTCCTTAGCACAGCTTCATACATAAGCTAAGACGATTTAATTGCTAAATGTCCAGGGAAATAGAAGTAGATTGGGAGAATCGGTTTGATTCTCACCAAATAAGACCGTGGAGGCTGAAGGAATAAAAAGGGTAAGCCCGCATGCATGGAGGATGTAGAAGCTATCAGTAAGAGATTTTTANTAATATAAGCCAATCGATTAATAGAGAACGGTGATGAATTTGAGAAAAAGAAATAAATATAAATAATTTTAAAAAAAATATTAGTGGTAGTCAAACGAATTTATTTAAGAGCATCACACTCTCCTCACCGGAAAAGTAGGAGAATGCACAATACCTAACACTGAGGACGCCCTGGGTTCTACTTCTCATCTCCAATCTCAGTCATATCAAGAAGAATTGGAAGAAGCAGAGACTCCGGCTCCGACTCCGACTCCGACTAGAGAACTATAATGGCCACCACCACAGAGATATTTGGAGTAAAGATCGAAAGGAACCCTCCCGAATCTAAGCTCACTGAGCTCGATATCGCGTCTTGGCCCAAGTACGCAAAATCAATCATTATACTTCACATCACTTCCTTTTCCGTTCTGCTAATGTTTCTTTGATTTCCTTGCTTTTGCTCTTTCTAATCTCTGGTTGTTCTTCTCCTATTTTGTGTGATTTTAAAGGTTTTTTTTTTTTTAAATTTTGTTTGTATGATTTGACTGTTTAGTGATGTTTGCTTTGAAATATCTTCAATTTTTGCATGTTTGAGTGGATGTTTCTGAATTATGAAAATAATACTCTTTTTTTCTGGTTGAGTTTTTTTTTAAACCAAATTCAGTCACATAGGGTTGTTGCTTTAAATTTGTCAGCACAAAAAGCTACCATGGAAAGGGGTACTTGAGACCAGTTACTGGAAAACTTAATCACAATCAATAACCCTAAAATCCTTCCCAATGACCAAAAAAAGTGCATTCCTCTTTGCACCTCTTAGTCAAATTCTAATTTTCAAGTAAGGAAAATCATTGTTCTTCAAGTACTCACACTAGACTTTTGAGTATTTGGAAACCGGACTTAAGGAATGGGGTAATCTGTGGCTTGAATAACCAAGTAATCTATGAGCAGTGGTGTTGAAAGCTTCAAGACTACACCATTGTTTCATAAGTTCCTTAGCACAGCTTCATACATAAGCTAAGACGATTTAATTGCTAAATGTCCAGGGAAATAGAAGTAGATTGGGAGAATCGGTTTGATTCTCACCAAATAAGACCGTGGAGGCTGAAGGAATAAAAAGGGTAAGCCCGCATGCATGGAGGATGTAGAAGCTATCAGTAAGAGATTTTTACTGTCCACATATGTTCTCTCTTCCATCAGCATGTTTCCATAATGCTTTAACTAAATCTGTTTGTAACTATGAAGAGTGGTTTAACTTCCAACTAAATTAAGCAAAGGATGGATGGAGGCAACGGGCAACTAGTGTAGATTGCCCAATGAGTGATCTAAGCTTGAGCCGGCATGTATAGCTCTAGTATTTGAAGTTAGCTTGTTGACTATATCAGTTTGATTGAAAGGGTGTTAAACAAACTTTTTTTCCATAGGTCTGCATTGTTTTTTTTTATGAGTGTGTGTCTGTCAGATGGGAGCNATTGTCCACATATGTTCTCTCTTCCATCAGCATGTTTCCATAATGCTTTAACTAAATCTGTTTGTAACTATGAAGAGTAGTTTAACTTCCAACTAAATTAAGCAAAGGATGGATGGAGGCAACGGGCAACTAGTGTAGATTGCCCAATGAGTGATCTAAGCTTGAGCCGGCATGTATAGCTCTAGTATTTGAAGTTAGCTTGTTGACTATATCAGTTTGATTGAAAGGGTGTTAAACAAACTTTTTTTCCATAGGTCTGCATTGTTTTTTTTTATGAGTGTGTGTCTGTCAGATGGGAGCACGAATATATGCATGGTGGTGTAGGTTGATAGATGAAAAGCTAACAAACTTGTTATCAGCAACATGTGGTCTAGTAATCTGATGATTAAGGCGTCACTTGCACTGAGAATTGAAAGATGGGGTTTTATAAGAGTTCCTATTACAAGAAATTAGTTTTGGTTATTGCATGAAAACCCTACCTTTTTTCTCTATCTTGTTTGAAAAATACGGTTGAGGTTACAAAGTAAAATCTGCCATATTTCTAGTGGATGCTAGAAAATATAGCTATCAAAGGTTTGACAGTTTGTTTTCATGACAAGTTCAAGGCTGCTCTGCACAGTTTCCAGCAAATGATGAACATGCAGTTGTTAGTTGATGTAACACTTGAAGCAGTGGTTTGCTAGTTTATTTCTCTTATTATCCATGTGTTTATGTATATTTTTGCTGTACTGTTACTAACTACACTGTGGAGAAACAAAATAACTATGGAAATGAAACAGAACAGAAATACTAATAGATATGGATCCAATCAACCTCAAAGCCTCTTTAACATTCTTCCTGTAGGTGGGCAAACCAGAGTAGTGCTTGATGTGGTCCTATGTGGACTTAGTAGACCAATGAGCATTCAAGCTAAGCATGGCAACAGAGCTTCCTTCATTTATGGGGCCTGATAACAGTGGAGCCTTGCCATATGCTAACATTATTTTGTAGGTGACCATGCCATAACGAATACCTTTTAGAACTGAGTATTATAAAATAATAATTTGCCATATGGCCGAGTGTGATGAAATGAAGACAGCCCAATCACATCATTGAAGATGAAGATATGTCTTTAGAATCTTAACAGTATTAAAATAGCCTAATTGCTTCCACAAAGACAAGAATATATGTTTTAACAGCAGTAAAGAGGTAGCATTATCTTGTATGCTATTCAGAAGAATAGGCTGATGTTTTTTTCAGGATTGAGATACTAGACTTTTGCTCTGCCAATGCAAAAGAGTTTGAGGATGTACCTTTGTTTGCCCTCAGTATTGACTGGATAGCGGCGTGTTCTGAGTCGCTTGCTGCCTTAATTTTCCCAATGTATTTTTTGGTCATTTGATTTTTGTATTCATCACATGGGGTGGTGGATTTGTTGTCCGCTTCTATATACTATTTATTTCGTTTATAATGCAAGTTTTGTTTCTCAAAAAAAAAAAAGATAACCTTTGCTCTGCCTTGGTAAACACTGGCTCATGATATAATTCTAATTTTTTCAGTAAACAGTTAGCACTATCTTATGCACTATTTAGAAGAATAGGCTGAATTCTTTTTAGGACTGAGAAGCATACACCAACAAGACTAAAGATCTGAAGTTTCACTATGATAAGTTTTGATCTTCCTTGGTAAACCCTGGCTCATGACAGTTTTTTCCTTGATTTTGTTGCGAATTGATGACAATCTGTGTTTTGTGGCACTGCCAGACTATTTGCTTATGTTACCACTCTTCCAAAAGTTTTACTTTAGCATCTGCAAAGCATCATTGCTGCTTATATTGCTGATTTCACACCGACACACACACACACACACACTCAGACCCATACCTAGACTCATACCCACAGAGCATGAAGATTGCAAATCTTTCGAACATTCCGAATTGTATGTGTTCCCTTTTTTTCCTCTTTTTAGTGGGATGTGTCTTATGTTTTCATTTGTTTCCCGAAAAGAAGATAAATGGTCATCGATATTGTATAAGATGCATGTATGCTTTGCTTTTACTTTCATGGATGTTGTCAATGGTAAGAATTTTTATATTAGGTTTAGGCACTAGGATTGAATTCTCCGTTGGTAAATGTTAATTGCAAGGATGCTAAAATGTGGCATGTAGATGGGGATGCTCGCCAAGCAAATTTCCATGGACATTCACTGCCAAAGAGACAATGTATCTGTTGGAGGGAAAAGTTAAAGTGTACTGCGAGGGCCATGACGGGTATTTTGAAATAGGAGCTGGTGATTTGGTTGAGTTTCCCAAAGGAATGAATGTCACCTGGGATGTCATTGAAGCTGTGAATAAGCACTATAGCTTGGAGAAATGACTTCCTAAGCCTGTTATATCTCTTTCCTACTTTTTTCAGGTGTTCACCACTATATTAAAGCTACTTATGATAACTGAGTACTTAGAATATTACTGCTAAGTTTGCTGAATTATTCCTTTTGTTGCCTCAATGTTTCAGCTCCTCTTCTTTACAGTACTCTAGTATTAGAGTTGTTTGGTTTAAACCCTTTATTCTAACCACCGAGTGGGGTGGCCCAGTGAGGAACCGACCGAATTTTTTACTTTGAGGTTGAAGGCTTGAGTCTTGGAGTTCACATTCGGGTTCTGTGATTGACCACTACACGTAGTCTAATTAGGTTTGTTCCCGAGAGGGATAACGGGCGTGGTTAGGGGCCATATGATTCTACCAGTGAGAGTCTATCAGAGTTGTTTCTCAGAGTTGTTTCTGGGCACTCTCTTTTGCCCCCACACTTTTTATTTCAATACCAAAAAAAAAAAAAAAAACCTTGATTCCAAACCATTGATCACACAGGTGAAGGTGTGCTCACTGAATGCAGCTCATAAACACTCAATAGGTTGTTGCTTTCATGGCGTAGGTGAATTCAAAGAAGGGTGGGGTTATTTTCACCCCACAAATATCAATCCTCACTCTATTAAACTTTTTCATGTAAAACTATAAAGTTCACTCCATTTTATTTCTATTCCATCAGTAGCTAAACAGATCACATTTTATAATCAACAAATTAATAACTGAATCCACCATAATTTATACACCATCTTTTAAATCTCATTTATAAATTATGTTGTCCGCTCTTCTTTCTAACTTTAAGGCTCTAAGAGTATCAGCCAAATAAGAATGGGGGAGGTTTGCCCAGTTAAAAAAGATTAGTTGGCGATAAAATTCGAGAATGATGTGGTTAAGGAAGGGCGACCGCGAGAAGAAGGGTAAATTCCATATATAAACTGGAGGTAGAAAGAGTCGTTCTGGAGGAGGTGGAAGTGATTCGATTAGTGATCGGAAAGTTCTACATAGAGCTTTTCATAGAACCACATTCGTTTCTAACAAAGCCAAATTTTTATCAATTCAACTGTCTTGATTCACCAAGTGTCATATGGTGGTGGCTGCTTCTTTTGCTTGGCCCGCTGCCCCTCATGTGTCAACTACGACACTCCAACATCTCCAGCAACATGTGCATGGTGTCCACAACTCCTAACTCCATGTTCACCCAGTACTCTAGGTCCCACTCTACCCCGCCCTCTGCCTAAAAGTGAAGGTTCTTGGGTCACTCCCTTAACATGACCCTTATCATCTCCTGAAATGTGGTCTTGTATGATAGGAGAGGTTGACCTACGGGTCATTGGTGGCACAATAGGTGCAATAGACGCCCCATCAACCAATGGTGCCTGACGAAAAGTATCGACTTGTGTCACATCTCCAGTATCAACTGTCACCTGTAAATGAGTGCATGGTGATCTATATGTTGGCGATGTAGTTATGCAAGGAGAGGTCGATGTCACCAAGGGTGCAGGTGTTGTAAATGTAGGGACGGATGAATGAGTAATTGGTGTGGTGGTATGTGTCACAAATGTTGTTTATGGTGCTCAAAATTGTAAAATTACTTATTGAAATTTTTGAATTAAAAACATGTAACAATCACGTATGAAACAGTTATACAAGAATAAACGAAAGAGTTACAATAGGCTTACAAAACAGAGATATAAAAGAGTTACAACAGTGTAACGAAACAATAACAACAAACAGTTACACGCAACTGTTTGTCAAACTAAAATAAATACTAACCCGGTTGCAAAACAGGAATTAATATTGAAGTTGATGTAGATCAAGATTAGTATTTGATACTATGTCTTTAAAACAGATTTTGCCCCCTCACACGGTGTTTATGGAATACCGAGCGTCTGCCTCTCAGAATACAATAATCTTTACACGAACAGAAGTAACACTCCAATCTCCTCGTCCAGCGAACCAAAGTCATGTTGTGTACTCTCTAAATGCACTGCTTTAATGTCGAAATTATATGTTCTAATGTCTGCCTTATTATTGAAAACGGATTGAATGAATGTATGAAATTAATGAAAATGAGCCTGGGTATTTATAGACACATTTGTGACTTTTCGGACAGTCACCTTACTAAAGGGCACAACTCAGAATGACAAGACACAACAGCCAGTAGACACCTTGAGTAACTGTTCTTCATAAACAGTCATAACTCAGAATTTTGGATTGGTGGGAAGCAGAAATTCGAACCAGTGCAATCCAATGGGTATCAAAAATTTATATTGAGTTAAGAAATTTTCGTCCAATTAATTAAATAAATTTTTTAAAAAAAGATAGAGCTTGGTCTAAACTACACCCACACCCACACCCACACCCGAGCTCTAGCCAGAACCTGGCTCGGCCGGGTTGTGGAGGGTGGCCGAGCGGCGCACGTGTGTGGTTGAACCGAAGGTATGTAGGTACTCGCTCTACTCATAAAATTGTGATACACCTTGGGGTTGAATTCCATATACCAAATTTGGCCTATATATGCCCATGTTGAATTTCTTCCTCAACTAATGTGGGATTGGTGTCACATCCCACATTGTACTTCCTTTATTTTTACGTTTTAAGAGGGTTATTTTAGAGCTTATTTTCTCATTCATTTTTTACTCGATTTGAGCAAGTGAATATACTACATTATTCTTCTCACGGAGTAGAATATGAACCATAAAATTTTATTCAAAATAACAATCGGGTCTCACTTTAATTTAGACTCAAAGTCGACCAAAATTCAATTTTTATACTTAAAAAAACTGTTTTGGTCTAACAATCCCCCTTATGAATGAAAAATTGGTTGTTAGTATGCAAATGATAATGCCGACACACTATAGAGAGTACATCTTTGGAAAGATCGTACATCGAGATAGGTAGTTTTTGGCCTTGAACCAAATAGTGAACGTGATGTTTTGAATTATTCAGCTGTTTGATAAATCAGATCGAATAAACTTCACACAGTCTCTTTCCTATTACAATTGGTTCTCATGATTGTTTTCATTTTGGCCCTAAACAACTTCTGGTTTTCATAAGTGCTTTAGAGAATTCAGTCTTTACAAATTTTCATAGAAGCGGCCCCTTCACACCCATATAGGTGACTCATATTAGAAATATCTTGCAATATCCCACTTGGATTTACTAAAGTATAAGAGTCATTAAAAGTATAGCTTACCCTAATAAACTCTGCAGGCAACACTAGGTTATCATAAGAATAGGTTGGAGAATTTATCTCATTAGTGCTTCTTTTGAATCACGCATAATTCAGTTGTCCCTTTGAACCTAGATCTTGAGATCTCTAGTCAACTAGGTTGGGTTGCCATCAAGGTGACTCTTGTGTCATAGGCTTTAATCACATTCCCCTCGATGTGCAATTTACTTACTCTCTCGTCAAACCTTTTGTAAGCGGATCCACTAGATTATCCTTTGACTTACTATAATTAATAAAAATAATCTCATTTGATAGTAATTGCCTAACGATATTATGTCTACCACGTATATGTCTAAATTTATCATTATACATGTCATTCTATGCCCTATCAATTGCAGATTGACTATCGCAATGTATACATATTACTGACACAAGTTTAGACCATATTAGAATATCCTCTAGAAATTGGCAAAGCCACTCAACTTCCTCTCCTGCTTTATCTAAAATAATAAATTCAGATTCCATTGTGGATCTGACAATACACATTTGCTTAGAGGATTTTCAAGATACAGCTGCACCATCAAGTGTAAAAACATAACCATTTGTGGATGTTGTATCCTTCATCACTATATCCTTCAAGTACAACTAGATATCTTGTATAGTGCAATCCAAACTTCAGGGTATATTTTAAGTATCTAAGAATCCTAATAATTGCCTTCTCATGGTCTACTCCCTGATTACTTGTATATCTATTCAATTTACTAACTGAGTATGTTATATCTGGTCTAATACAGTTCATAACATACATTAGACTTCCAATAATATGAAAGTATTTCAATTGTGATATGCTTTGGTCAGTATATTTAAATAAATGAAGATTTATATCAACTGGTGTTCTAACAATGCTGTTTTTATCATTGTCGAACTTTTCAAGTATTTTCTCAATGTAATGTGTTTGAGATAATACAAGTCCATCAGATATTCTAAAAATTTTAATTCCTAGTATAACATCTGCAACACACAAATCCTTAAAGTCAAACTTACTGGACAACATTTTCTTGGTAGCTGTAATAATATAATTATTACTACCTATAATAAGCATATCATCCATATATAAGCAAACAATGACATATCTATTATTTGTGTCTTTAACATAGACACATTTATTACATTCATTAATTATGAAACCATTTGACATCATTATCTTGTCAAATTTCTCTTACCATTGTTTTGGTACTTGTTTTAAACCATAAAGTGATTTACAAGTCTACACACTTTTTCTTTTGTCCCGAAGAAACAAACCCTTCGGTTTGTCTATATAAATTTCCTCATTTAAGTTACCATTTAGGAAAGTTGTTTTTACATCCATTAGGTATATTTCAAGATTATGCAATGCTGCAATAGCTATGAGCATACAAATAGATGTTATTCTCGTAATGGGAGAATATGTATCAAAGTAATCAACACCTTTTTATTTGTAACCTTTAGCTACAAGTTTAGTCTTGTACTTATCAATTGATCCATTAATTTTTATTTTCCTCTTGAAAATCTATTTACACCCCAATGGTTTACTCCTTGGAGGAAGATCTACCAACTCCCAGGTGTGATTTTGCATGATGGATTCAATTTCACAATTTACAGCTTCTTTCTACATAGATGCTTCAGGAGTGGACATTGCTTCATTGAAGTTTTGAGGCTCATTTTCTAACAAATATGTTAGAAAATCTGGATCATAAGACTTGAAAGTCTTTGCCCTCTTACTGCGTCTAAGTGTCTTTTCACTCTCTTCATTTATAGACTCATGGTCTATATTACTAGTCGTAGTCTCATGAGTTCTTTT